AATGATAAGGCAGGATGATTTTCAGATCATTTTGAAGAAAAAACTCTAGGCGACAACATCCATTAGTCAAAAGTCTTGTGGACACATATTTAGTATGTGTTTTGTGGCCTTATTTCAGAAACTTTAAGTTTTAGTTTTTTCAATAACCACGCATAAACAATATTCTCTCAAAAATACAAAAATGTACATACATGTTGATAACACATTATGGTAGCCCTGTGTGTGCTAAATAGAGTGTAATTACACCTTTGCCAGTAATATGTTTATAAGCAACTGAAAAAAGCACAAATGTCAGAGTATGTCAAAACATCTCAAGGACCCAAAAAACACCTTGGACCCCAGAGGGTTAACATGCTATGAATAACATGCTTAATCTGTGTGGTATTTTGAGCTAAAACTTCACATACACGCTCTAGGGACATCAGAGATTTTTTTACATCTTGTAAAAAGGGCATTATAGGACCCCTTTAAATATGTCATTTTGGTAATCAAAGATAAGTTTTAAGGGACAAAATTATAGAAGAGTAATTGTTTTGAAGCGGATGAGGGTCAAAGACGAAAAGGGGGTATTAAGCATAAAAAAAGTGTAATACAGCTTTAAATTTAACTCGCGCTGCGTCAATGACGCTTTGGGAACGCCTCCACGTGATTGTGTCTGAAGCACGTATGTCAACTAGTCCAACACCGAGACAGAACGTCACGGGCGGGTGACGTCATGACAAAGAAAGGATAAAAGCACATCCGGAATGCTAGCTTAATGTGTGTGCCTCAGCAAGCGCTCTATGTCAAACTGTGTGTCTAATTTATTGTTGTCTGTCACAGGGCCTTCCATTCTTTCCTGATCTTCATAGTGAGCTATCTAGATCCTACTTGTCCCATCTTTTTAGCCCCCAAGTTCATGTGTATTCAGATATAAGGGGGTTGAAAGAGTATGGTTATGGGGCAATGCCTAGGGTTGAACAGACGCTCGCAAGTCATCTGTCCCCTGGTTCAGCATCGTCCCTGAAGGCCCCGCTACCCATTAAGCCACTAAAAACTACATCAACGCAAGTGGGTAAACATACACGGTGGCAGGTCAGGCTGGGCGTGTCTGCACACAATGTCAATACTGCAGGCATGCCAAGCTGATTTGCTGAGGGATCTGGATGATGGCAAGGGGGTAGATCTGTCTCTCAGGGCCACTAAGGAGATCGCTAGAGCTATTAGGTGATCTATGGCAGCTCTGGTTGCCGCTGAGAGGCATTTATGGCTCAATCTCGCTCCTTGATGTCCCCTGGCCTCTTCGCCGACGCCGTCAATACGGTCAGCAGAAAGAGAGTGTCGCATCCTGTGCTCCTCCACAAAAATCACGGGGGCAAACTAACTTTAGCAAGTAGTTTTGTATGAGGTAGGCTACATATGTTGTGTCATGGACCACGGAGGCATATCCGATCTGAATCTTTGCCTGAATTCAATTGAGGATATCTAACTGAAAATGCTCGGTGATTTTAGCTTTAATAAGGAAATATTGAATCTCTCACACAATGTATGAGACTACTTGTTGTGAGACCTCCGAATTTCAATTTTTTACACATACACTGATAAATAAAAATTATACTTTAAGTCAAATAATTTCTTCGGTCCCCAGATGAAAAAGATTAAATCATATTAAACTTTTAAGATTAAGCATTGCTATGGCAATAAGTTAACAGAGTAAGACTAACTTACATATGCTATGGCACAGTCTGTGCGATGAGCTGGACTCCACCCTGCCCCCACTGCTCTCACATGTAACCCTTAGGTGTGAGAAGAGAGATTTTATATTTCAATTTATTGCGTATTTTGTAATACATATCCATCATTGTGTGAGGAACTACGTCTTCAGCTCTCTGAAAAATGTAAGATATTTTATATTTATATATTAATTTAGCTAAAACTATAACAATATGTTCACTGTGTTTCGTAAACTTTAGCAAGATGTTTATTTTTATATTGAGTGATATGAATAATTATATATAATCATTTCATTTACAATAGAGATAAGTACTCAAACATTTGAAATGGTTGTGTGTGTGTGTGTGTGTGGTTTTAACTATCGGCCAATCCGGAAAAATTCATATTATTGTGAGGCGTGAGTGTTCATCATTGCTCAGGAAGAATTTCAGTCATGCTGAATCGGCTTAGAAATCCACGCATGACAGATCCGTGGGTAAAACCCAACTCTTACTCCGCAGGGCCACAGGACTAAAGCCAATGGAAACTAAGTGAACCCAGTCTTAAGGTGGTACCTGTAAAGTGGGAAAATACACTGATGACGTACCGCAATGTCTTTCATTACGTTAAGAGGCCTTACTATTTATGCTGTTCAAATAGGTTAGTAAGGATGCAAATATGCTGGGTTTTTTGGGTTTTTTTTTACTCAATAATAAAGTGTACAGCCAGCCTGGGCTCATTGTTACTATGTAGGCAAGGTATAATTTCCCTTTTACCATTTTATAGATAAATGTAAGATCCCTTAACCCTACTCCTAAACCTAAACATACCAATTGTATAGGCCCTACAGAATATAAAAATAATAAAACGCAATGGACAGAGATGAGTATCATAGGCGTCATTTACGGGGGGGACGGGTGGGACATGTCCCCACCACTTTTTGCCAGGGTCGATATTGTCCCCACCACTTTTGAAACATATCGCGTCACGGGTACCAATACAAATAAAACATCTCCAGTTAACTAGCAGCATTCGTTTCATTCATTTGTTAAATAAGAGGCGATCTAGCGCTGAAATGTGTTGTCTTCACTCGGACGCGCGCTTCAATCCGTTGCAGAGATTCTATTCGTTCCAGAGAAATCACAATTCAAAATGCACACAAACGTGTCCCTGCTTCTCTGGGTTCTAATCCATCCGCACTCGTATAGTTTTTTTTCCCCCTCATCAAAACCGATAATGTTTATCAGTGATAAAGTATATCAAGATTCTTGATATACAACCACTGATAAACATTAGGTTTTGATGAGGGGAAAAAATACTATACGAGTGCGGATTAGATCAGTGATAAAGTATATCAAGATTCTTGATATACAACCACTGATAAACATTAGGTTTTGATGAGGGAAAAAATACTATACGAGTGCGGATTAGAACCGTCAACCCCCGACACGGTTGGCAAATATTCCGCCACTGGACCATTACAGTACATAAGCGACGTAGGCGGATCTATGTATATATTCATGTAAAAATTCACGATACTAACAACATTATATTAGATCTCATTTTACGACCAATTAAATTTAAACCCAAAGTACCATCACATTTTTGGTCGGACATCATCACATCTTTGTATACATTTTTATTTATTCAAATCAGTAAGCTACAGGACATCGTCTTTCAAACCATGACCTGCGCGAAAGAGAAAAAAGAATGAATGCGTCATTGTACCCAGCACTTTTGAAAATGCCCTTCCGAATGCGTCTCTGTCCCCATCACATTTCAAACCAAACTGACGCCCATGAGTAGGATAATGCAATTTTAGTAACAATATAGCATTTAGAAGTTATTCTGAGCCCCTAATCCTCTTACCCCAATACCTTCCCATAACCATTTCTTAAAACTACGTACATGAAGAAAAACATTTACAGACAGACAAGTGTAATCACAATAATTCATTTATTGCAAAAATGTCAAAAGCGGTACCAAAAGTCGTTCAAATGACGATATGTTGCAGTTGCAGTCTCAGATCTCTGGTGGGCGCTATAATAGTTTTGTATGAGGTAGGCTACAGAGCTATTAGTTATTAATCCATGAAAATGTTAATCCAGCTTCCCTCCGTGAAGGCAAGCATTTCCCAATATCAAATGTTCATCGACTAAAACACGTCATGTCACAATCGAAGCAGGCGAGAGCCAATGAGCGGTTGATATCACTGCCGTAAAACATATCAAGGCTTCTTGAGGGAAATTTTTTTTATTTTAATTAATCATAACGAGCGCAGGATTTGGCGTTTACGGTCGCTGCTGAGAATGGAGATGAAGATCGCTGGATAAAGGGCTGAATTTGGATCTGTTCCTCGCAAAGCATGGATTCTAAAGATTTGGATTACAGCAAGTAAATAAAATTGGTGTATTTTGTGGTTTCATGTAGCCTAGTCTTGTTTAGCATTATGTAGGCTAATCCTCCAAAACGAATTTGCAGCAGCTGTCATAAACAGAGCAAAATGTTAATTATTTCTTATTAAGTAGATGAGTAAACTGCATTTAATAAATAAGACTGAAAACATGTAATTGATATGACAATTGAATCAAAGAGTCAAAACATTAATGCCACAATTTTATTCATAAATAGGAATAGCCTATATACAAATTTGTACGTCGGTAAAGTTGTTCATGTAAATAATTTACGTAGTGCTGTCATGTAAATATTTTAAGTTGTAGTGCTGTCAATACGTTAATATTATACGTTTCAGTGTGTATGAAAACGTAAGTAAATACACGTGTGGTAGGCTATAGAACTACATTTTACATACAAAATACACACATATTCGCATGAGATTGTGTTTGTACAGCTACATGTGTGGTATGGCATTGTAAAAACAAAGGCAAAAAAGGCCTAGCTAACTTTCAAGGGACCACGGCATGGATGAATGAATTAATGCTCTCCTTTAAATGTGACCAAATAGTATGAAACTATTAGCCTACTTTAGATATACTTTTGAGAATATAACTAAAATAAAATACAATACATTTCAGAAATATAAAAATAGTCTGCATCGATTGGTCATAAACACATATAGCTAGGTATCTAGATTTCTAAATAACAGTCCAAGTAAAACTACTTCCTAAATCTGAATAGTTTGCTATACGCCACATCGTACTCACTGTGGCGAAAAGACTTTTGATTTACCATCTCTCAGTTCCACCTTAAGAAAATACACTTGACATGATTGGAGAGCGCGAGCGCGCTGCAGCGGACCTGAGCTGCGCCTCTGCTGTCCTATATAAACCCACACGAGCTGCATAGAGTCAGCTCAGTGGTGGTGAAACAACACGTTACTCACACTTCACACTGACAAAGAAGACAATCCGCAATGGAGACAATCTCATGGACACTTTTTCTACTTTCTCTTACATATTTGGAGGGATCTTCGCAAGATTTCGGACAGACACAGTTCATCTGCACATCCGTGCCTAAGGATATGGACCTGTGCGCAGCCACCATGCAGAACAGCGGGCCAGCGGAGGATCTGAAGACCACAGTAATGCAGTTAAGAGAGACAGTCCTACAGCAGAAGGAAACTATCATGAATCAAAAGGAGACGATCAGGGAACTAACTTCCAAGTTGAGCCGCTGTGAGAGTCAGAGTGTTCTGGAGCCCGTGACTGGAGCTCGTAGGAAAGAATCGGGCAAAAACACGATGGGAGACGTGTCCCGCGGCCCGACAGATACTCTAACCCAACTCGGGCAGACTTTAGCCACCCTTAAACAAAGATTGGAAAACTTGGAGGTATACATGACGTAATGATTTGGACTTTTCAGCTTAAGACGTGTGACTCCATCTAGTGTATTTCCTAATAGTCATATCCCGCATTTCTTTAAATACACAAACTCATGCAATGCATGATAAATTACATTGTTAAAATATTTTAAGCCAGATTGAGTAATCTTAATGGGGTCGGAAGATTTGGAGTGGAGGTCTTTAGCAGATTTAATCAATGTGTCACTGGTTCACGGCAGGCTGCGCTAAGCCTGAAATTGGCTTATCTCTTATAAGTTTCTCATGTGTGCGTTTTAAAGTATTCGTTTGAATAAGCACCCTCCTATCTCATGTTTTCCCGTAGCAGTACAGCAGGAACAACGGCTCTGTCCAGGCGAACAGCCTTAAAGATCTGCTTCAAAATAAGATCGAGGATATGGAGAAGCAGGTGCTGTCCCGGGTCAATACTGTGGATGAGAGCAAACCCGGACAGAGGAACGACACAGATCAGCGCAATCGAGTGGAGTCAACTCTCACCTCCTTACATCAGAGAATTAACGACCTGGAGAAAGGTATGAGATGTCATTCCATGATAAATTTTACTTATTTGTGATGCAAATAATACATCTGAACTAGGCTATACACTACAATAATTATGTGTTTGAGAAGCATGGTAGTTAGAGTAAAACAGCAAGCGTGTTATGGCGCAGAGGATGGTTTGGGAGGGGGAGCTGCATTGCTTAGCATTTTGAGCTAATAAACAGCGATGTAGCCTAATATTATGAGGGATAATTAGAGTCTTGGTCATTCTCAAAGTAGGTCTTCTCTGAATAGCTGCGTAAAGTTTGCTTCTCAAAGCGCAGCCAGCTCGGCCCAGCATGCAAGAGTCAAAGCAATTTTTTTATATAATCACCAGTGTCACAAATTAAAAAGAAAGAAGGCAAATTCTATTTTTATTTATTTATTATTGATTGATTGATTGATTGCATGACTTTGGTTGGTTTACCCCTAAATTGTTAGTGAGACTTTTTTAAATTAAAACTACTTAATTTACAGTGGGTTTCATTGTAAAATAAAAACAAGTAATTTTGTATAGTATAAGAACAGCCTACGTCACTTAAGCATCAGAGCAGTAGATACAAGCAATGGAAGCATTTGGGCACTAGCCTTTATTTAGAAGTCCTTGTTGAACAGAAAGAAAAAAGAGAGAGAGAGAGAGAGAGAGAGAGAGAGAGAGAGAGAGAGAGAGAGAGAGAGAGAGAGAGAGAGAGAGAGAGAGAGAGAGATTAAGAGTGTTAAATCCTAACATTATTACTTTTTACTCTGCAGGTTCAAAAGGTAACAGGCCACTGGACAAGTTTCAGATAACGTTCCCCTTAAGAACAAATTACATGTATGCCAAAGTGAAAAAAAGTCTACCAGAAATGTATGCCTTCTCTTTCTGCTTGTGGATAAAATCCAACGCATCACCCGGGGTAGGAACACCCTTCTCCTATGCTGTTCCTGGACAAGCCAATGAGCTTGTTCTCATAGAATGGGGGAACAATCCAATGGAGATTCTCATAAATGATAAGGTACAGTGTCAGAAACAATAATGCAATTATATAATGCATAACATGATAGTTAGGGCTGTATTATACAGTAGATATATCTCAATGTGTATCTCTGGGTTTGCTTAGATAAATGCTGAAGTCATTTGGTATTTTAGCACTTAAAAAAGAAGAACAATTTGAGTGATCTACAGTATAACTTTACAGGTTGCAAAATTACCTTTCATTATCAACGATGGTAAATGGCATCACATCTGCATAACATGGACGACTCGTGATGGAGTATGGGAAGCATTTCAGGATGGTGTTCTGCGTGGAACTGGAGAAAATCTGGCACCCTACCACCCAATCAAACCCAACGGTGTGCTGGTCTTAGGTCAGGAGCAGGTAAGACTCAAAATTATGCCTATTAGGCTTAATTTATGTAGAAAATGTCAGTTAATATTAGAAAATGTAGTAACTCTAACGATCATTTAGACTTAACAGGTTTGCCTGCTGTTCAGCAACCTAATATTGAATTTGGTTGTTTTTTGTACTTGCAGGACACACTTGGTGGAGGTTTCGATGCAACCCAAGCCTTTGTAGGTGAACTGGCGAACTTCAATATATGGGATAGAAAATTGACAGCTGGCGAAATTTACAACCTGGCAACCTGCAACAATAGAACACAAGCTGGCAATGTGTTATCATGGTCGGAGAGTAATATCGATGTGTTCGGTGGAGCCACTAAATGGACTTTTGAGCCCTGCCGTCAACTCAACTGAACTGCAAAGGGGCCAGATCCATATTTCTAGTTTTTGTCTTTCTTGTCCTCAGTTTGACGTTCGTGAAAAAAAAAAAAAAAGTTTGTGAAAAAAAAAAAAAACAGTTCTTGATAAAACATTCAAAGGTACACATAAACCTGGGGTTTCTATGAATACCTAAATATTTCTGTGCAAAACTAGAATATTTTTTTTTGTCTTGATAAAATAGGTTCCTGTTGGTTGTCTTGCGAACCTCAAAGCGACAGTTTTTCTCCAGGTTAGCAATATTTTTTTGCTGCTTTTTTTTGCACGTGGACACAGTTTGCTTATTTTTTCATTCTTATATTTATTTAAAGGGGCCAACAACTGAAGAACTGTCTATTTGCAGCATTTTGGGCAGTAAAGCAATAGTGCATCAGAACATAACTCTTGTGTTTTTTTTGTTTTTTTTTAATGATCACACTTTGCTGATAACCCAATCACAAATTGCCACCATTTAAAATTATGGTTTATTTAATATCGGTACCCCATTCCCACCGGATCTTGCACTGTGATGGACTTGAAAATAGGATGGGAGAAAAGTATTTATTTACTTGGAAAAAGAAGTTTAAAAGGATGGCACTTCCTGCATTTGATTCCAGTGATCTCACTGATGTTTCTGTAAGAATGTTGTTTAGTTGCCAACATGCTTACAGCCTGAGTGCCTTGAACTGATGTATCAGTTCAGCACACACTTTTAGTTTGCTTACTCATTGTGTTATGCAATTACATTTTGCTTTTATTGATGAATTACTGTTTTTATGAAGTGTGTTCAACAGCGATAGTTAAGGCTCTGGTGTGTTTTACTCTGTTCTAGGAATGTCATTTGTACAGTAACAGCATGAATTATCAAATGCTACAACATCAATGCTGACATCTGCTTCTATTGTTTTGGGTTGGGTTTTTTACTGTATTGGTATGCTAAAAGCATGGCACTACTGAACAATGATAAAGATATAATTTTTGTAATAAAATTGTGATATACAGTATATATAAATAGCATTTTACCTCTGCAGTCATTCTTACTCAAATACTGTTTAGTAGAGAGTTACAGAGATATAGGATAAAGTATAAATCAATAGATAAACAGATATGTGACCCTGGACCACAAAACCAGTCACATGGGTCAATATTTTATAATTGAGATTTATACATCAATAATAGCTTATTTATTCAGCTTTCAGATGATGTATGGTTTGTTAGGATAGAACAATATTTGGCTGAGATAGAACTATTTGAAAATTTGGAATCTGAGGGTGCAAAAAAATTAAAACATTGAGAAAATCGCCTGACCCATACAATGTATTATTGGCTATTGCCACAATTATACCCGTGCGACTTGTGACTGGTTTTGTGGTTCAGGGTCACATATGTCTTAAATTTTATATGAATGAGCTCGATACCCTAAAATCTATCATTCTCTCATCATCATCTATGTTTGTGCACATGGGGCATTTGTTTTTGTTTACACTGCCCTCTCTATCTTGGTTTTGTGTATACAGTAAAAGACTGCATTGCTGTAAAAACAATTGTTATAATTTCAAACATACATGTTTAATCAGTGTGAAATGGCATTTTGTGCTTCTGTTGGCATTAACTAGTGCTATAGCTTCCAGTATATGGTTGGCATTTACAGTTTTCAGTCATTTGTTACAGTTTAAACATAATACGAGAGACAAAATTATGATTAAGGTAAAATACAGGTAATAACTGCAAAACAGAATGAAAATCTGACATAACCAAACTCTGGAGTTTATCAAACTATTGTGAATTTTTAGATTTTCTGAAACATTTTAGAGATACAGTGTAAGTGGCTCACTTATGTCATCAAGAAATAGGAAAAATATTAAAGGTGCAAAAATGTTTTGTTTAGTTCATATTTTGCTGGCTGATATGGCAGTCATTTTTTGATTCATATTGACACCTAGTGGTCTCAATGCAGCATCACACAAAGCAACAATTTTCTGTTAACAATGTCACTGTATAATTACAGCTGTTTCACAAGTTTATTTGCCAATATAATCTGCTAATAAGGTTAAGCGTATTTGGCTTGCAGTCCGCAGTGGAGGGGCTCGAGGAAGCAGCTTCAACTCGAGCTTAGATATACCCTCCAGTGTGACTACTAATGCTTGGATGATGAGTATGGTAGTAAGATGCCTAAATTAAGTTGGTGGAGTTGGGGAGGTGGAGGGATGCCAAAACAGCTGATGCCAGAGGAAGGTGAGTGGCTGCTTATATGCTACTGCAGTTAATTGAAAGATTATATGGGTTCACTCCTCCCGAAATTACGCTTGTGAACTTCACTTATATCCCAGTGTCCCATAAGAGTAAGTACAACAGTATTCAGCTGGTCATGTGATCACAACATTTCAAGCTCCATGTAAATTAAAGTAATTGTTCACCTAAAAACAAAAATTCAGTTATGATTTATATAAGAGGTAAAAATATAAAAACACTACTTAACTTCTTTATGTGTACAGGTTTTGGGGATAAAGATCACTGAGATTACCCTCAACTAGAAAGAGAATAAACTGACGATATTATGGCATTTTTTCAGCATTTTAGAATTTAGAGTTTATATGATATTATTATTATGCTTCATTCATTCATTCATTCATTCATTCATTCATTCATTCATTCATTCATTCATTCATTCATTTTATATTCAAGGAAAATACAAACTAAAACGTATATATCCTGTGGATTTCTAGTTTCTGTTCCTCAATCAGAGGACCGTTTTCAACGGGTTTGCTATGCCTCAAATTTGAGAGAACTTTAATTTTGGGGGACTTTAACATCCATATGGACATAAAAGATTCAACAACAACAAAAGAGTTTTATCTTTATTGGAGTGCTTCGATTTGAACCAGCTCGTGGACTGTCCTACACCTAATAAAGGCCATACTCTAGATCGATTGAACCCTCTGATTTCTCTTATTTTATTGGTTCTTCCTTGAGCGTTTTTTCTCCATCTCATGCATTGGAGGATCAAGTTCTCATGTTAAAATCTGTTCTCTCGTCTGGCCTGGACTTATTTGCACCTTTGAAATCCCGACTGGGTTCCTTCGGTCGTTCTTCTCCCTGGTATAATGAGAATCTGCGTGCTATGAAGGCGTCGTGTCGTACAATGGAGCGTAGGTGGCGTATGTCTGGCTTGACTGTCTTTCACCAGGCCTGGAAGGAACAATTACTTGAATATAGGACCCAAATTGCATCGGCAAGGTCTGCTTATTTTGCACAAATAATTGACAACAATCAGAATAACCCAAGACAATTGTTTAATTCTACTCAAATGTAACAGTTATTCAACTGTTCCAGCTTGAACTCACCTCTGTAATAAGTTTCTTGATTTTTTCAGCTCCAAGATTGATAACATTCGTAAATGTATTATCTCTGCTCTTCCTTCATCTCTTCCTCCCTCAATCACTTCTGAATTTTCCGGTATACTTCTCTCAAATTTTTCCACATTGGACTCTCATTCTCTTCGTAATGAGGTTTCAAAAATGAAAGCTGCCACTTCCATAGTTGATCCTGTACCAACTTGTCTGTTCCAATCATGTTTTGCTATTTTATGTCCTGCTGTACTGAGTATAATAAATGATTCTCTGTGCACTGGTGTGGTGCCGGCAACATTTAAAATTGCTGCTCTGACTTCTGTACCAAAAAAAAGCAAACGTTTGACAACCTAAATAATTTTCGTCCCATTTCCAATCTTCCTTTTCTCGCAAAAATTTTAGAGCAAATTTTTGCTACTCAATTGCATTCCCATCTAGCTGCAAATAATTTTTATGAGCCCCTTCAATCGGGATTCCGTAAACTCCATAGCACTGAAACAGCATTAGTTAAAGCTGCAGTCCGCAGTTTTTGCTCTTTGTCGCGATCTCTGTTCGAAATCTGCAATTGCAGTTATTCGCGGAATTATCAACTTTACGTGAGTTGTACTTCGACACGGCACAGTTATTAACAAACAGTTATTAACAAGCAGTTATTCGCGGAATTATCAACTTTACGTTAGTTGTACTTCGATGAACACAATGTTTGAGGAGAGTGTGCAGCTGTCAGTCACCGAGCCGGTGTGGATACTGTCATTCAGAATCACAGATTATTCTTTTTGGAAGTATGACCAACATAATAATTTTCACCGGAAAGTGTCATCTGAACAAGTAAGCAACATCCACTTTTTTTTCTTGTTCTGACATTGCAGTAAATCGCGCTGATTAAATCTAAAAATCGCTTATCATATCACTCAAAACCGTGCAAATTATACTTTGTTCTCAAATTGTTAATGTTAACAACGTCAGCATTGCGTGACTACATGTAATGTCCTTCCGATATGTATCCTTGTTTTCGCATGGGCCGGTTGCAGTCTCTTTTTTTCTGTAGCCATTCCGAGGTCCGAACGAAGTCTTTTGCATTTTACAACGGGTGAATCTCCAGTTGTCACTGGCGATTGTCGTTTGAACCTTTCTGGATCCGCCATCAAATTGATAAGTTTAATTATATCAAGTGCTGTGAGAAAAGTCTATAAATCTCCACCTCCAGCATCCTCACACGCAATATAGCTTATACTAGCCGAGACTCCTTCTTTATGTGGACAGATGTGACGTAATTACCCAAAGACATGCTCGAATTTCCCACGGAAATCCACCAGTACCACTGGAATTAAAAACATTAATACAAGCTTACCGCTTTGAATCGTGCTACGGCAAGCAGAGAGTTTTGAACACTGGCTGGTTATGTATTTTCTCAAATATGTATTTTGGATAATTTTTAATACCAAAAAAGCAACGGACTGCAGCTTTAAGGTCACTAATGACTTGTTAATTGCTTCTGATTCTGGCTGTCTTTCTATTTTGATTCTTCTTGATCTTAGTACCGCTTTCGACACTGTTGATCATAATATTTTACTTAATCGGTTAGAATCTGTCTTTGGTGTTTCTGATACTGCACTAAGCTGGTTTAAGTCCTATTTTTCTGATAGAAAGCAGTTTGTCGCTATGGGTGGTTGCATGTCTGATATTGGTGTAGTGCAATCTGGTGTTCCTAAAGGTTCAATCTTGGG